TATATATATATATATATATATATATATATACACCACACACACACACACACACACACATCTTCTCTCTTTCTCTCTCTATATGTATATATATATCAGTACCTGGCTGACTATGCTTTTTACTTTCCTTTATCAGTGGTGCCAAAATAAACCTAGGGACTTGTCCATGTTGAATAATACCACCGAGCTATATCCCCAGTCCCTTTGCTCACAGTAGAAGCTAAACTACTCTTTCTCCCTTACTTCAGGAGACACAGAAAATGAAATGTCACAGAAATGACATTTGTTTGAAGAGTGAGAGACTGAAGCTGTCCCTAGGCCATTCTTAAAAACATTTAAAATTGCCAGGTGCCAGTGACTCGTACCTGAATTCCTAGCTACTCTGGAGGCTGAGATCTGAGGATCACGGTTCCAAGCCAGCCTGGGCAGGAAAGTCCATGAGACTCTCATATATAATTAACCACCAAGAAAACCAGAAGTGGTATTGTGGTTCAAAGTGGTAAAGCGCTAGCCTTGAGCAAAAAAGCTCAAGGATAGAGCCCAGTGCCCAGGCCCTGAGTTCAAACCTCATGACAGACAACAACAACAACAAAACAAAAACAATCATTTAAAATTACTGATAGATAGTAGGTGGTAGAAAATACCTTACATTTTCTTTCTTCATCATTTCGTTTCTTTTTAATTGAAAATGAACTACATCCCATTCTACAATGACCTGAATAAACATTTGTTCAAATCAGAATCCAGTAGTGGTAGAAAAAAACAAGCCTACCACAGACCCTTCCCCCAAACGGGGCAATAAAAAACAAATAAAGAACCTATGTCATTATCTTCCTTCTTCTTTAGTCATGTCAGAAATAGCAAATGTAGAACCTACAAGACAAATTGTCTTCACCTTTTAATGATGCTGGAGGCGACAAGTTTCTCAGCCGGACACCACTTACAAGATTGCAGACTTCTTCAACTCCATCATCTTTGTTGAGGCCAAATACATTGAATTCCCCTGTCGGTTTAGTGAGATTCCCTATGGGGTTAAGACAGAAGAAAAGTTGAGAGTCATTATCCTGTCTTCAAAACTCTCATTTTCCTATAAACTTTTGGATGGAATATACAAAAGAAAGGGAGGGTAGAGATGTGCATTGTTTTGTCAAATATTTTGCAATGCTCTGTTCTATGTAAAACTGCTGTATGAAAACCTAAATTTGAGTTAAAAAGTTTTTTATTCTCATGAAACTGTAACCCCTCTGTACAGTATCTTTACAATAAAAATATATATTAAGGGGGTAAAAAAAGTTTTTTCTTCCCACCCACCCCCCAAATAGTATTAACTGTCAGTGTTTTCCACAGCACATAGTTTTATAGAAGTTAGATCCATAATGAATTTAGGTTACTTCTCATAACAGAGTGATATATCTTGTATGCACATTTATATACCCACATTCAAATAGAAACAAACACATTATATGGACTGAACTCTAATTAGGACATGGCTACTACCAGAGGGTGTGTGTGTGAGACAGACAGATAGGCAGTCAGGCAGGCACACACTCACACACACACACACACACACACACACACACACACACACACACACACACGTAATTTAGAAAGAGAGAGATTTTTGTTTGTTTGTTTTTGTTTTTTTGGGTCCGGTTGTGGGGCCTGAACTCTGGGCTTAGGCGCTGTCCCTCAGCTCTTCAGCTCAAGGCTAGCGCTCTACCACTTGAGCCACAGCGCCACTTCTGGTTTTTTTCTTTTTACTTATGTGGTGCTGAGGAATCGAACCCAGGGCCTCAGGCATGCAAGGCAAGCGCTCTACCACTGAGCCACCTTCCCAGCCCAGAGAGAGATATTTTTAAATGGTGAGGAAAAACTACTTCCTATTAATTTGGCCTCCTGGTACTCCAAAATGCATTCATTACCTGTTCCTCCACACATATAATATTTGGTAGCTGCAAGACACTGTGAGAAGTAAGGTAGAAATACAGTGGTTAACATCTATAATTCTAGCTACTGAAGAAGCTGAAATCTGAGGACTGTGATTGGAAGCTAGTCCAGGCAGGAAAATCTGTGAGTCTTATGTTCAATTAAATGCCAAAAAGCCAGAAGTAGAGCTGTGGTTCAAGTGATAAAACAGCCAGCCTTGCACAAAAAAGCCAACCAAGAGCACTAGGAGTTAAGCTTCAGTATACACACACACACACACACACACACACACACACACACACACACACACACTATAAAGCCAAATTCCTCATCTGAAGAGATCAGTCATGAATTCAAAGAGCAGAACAACCAGACAAATGAGTAGGCATAAACAGTAAGTGCCAGATACTGTATATCAATAGAGTATGTATTTATTAAGGACTTTAAATACATCATATCTTATGAAGGCTACAAGTATGAATATGCATGCTTCCAGCCCTCCAGATACATGAAAGCTAAGAGGACTTACGTACAAATACCAGGAAGCATGACTAAGAGCTAAACATCAAAGAGTAATGTGTTACCAACACATAGGATTATTAATTCAAACTTGAAGCATTCAGAAAGCCCTCATGGAGGAGAAAGAGGAGGAAGTATATGGCTGCTCTTTAAAGGATGAAGAAATATGCCAGTGGAAAGCAGAGAAGAGATCTGGGCAAAGCCACAGGGGTCTTCTAGGGAAATGTGAATCAACCAGCATGTGGCGAGTACAGTGTGTTGAAAGTACAATGTATCAAAAGTACAGTGTGTCAGAAGTACAGTGTGTCAGATCCTGGTGGACATGAATGTGAAACACTACTTTGTGAGCCCTCTAGGGAGAACATTTAACATCACACTGCGAAGACTGGTCTTTATTCCTTAGACCACAGGTTTCTGAAGAGGCAATTATTTGTAACCCAACCAATCTGTTTAGAGGCTGCTATTGTTGGATGTGGATCATCTGTCCAAAACTCATGTGGAAATTTAATTCCTCAAGTCATATGGTCATGATATTTGGAGATTAGACTTTTGGGGAAAAGTTAGGATTAGATGAAGTCATGAGTCTTGGTTTTTCATGGTTGTACTGAAGTATTTGTAAGAAAAGGGAGAGATATTTAAGTGAGCAAGTTTGCTCTGTCTTGTAAGACAGGGTTACTAGTGTGAGCCACAAGCATCTGACTAGTTCTTTTCTTAATTGAAGTGAAATTCACAAAACATACAAGTCATCGTTTTAAAGTATCTAATTCAGTGGCAGGTATTGCATTCATAATGTTGTACAACCATCAACATATCCCTAATTTCACACTGTTTTTCAATGCTTTGGGAGACTGAAGGATTTTAAGCAAGGGAAGAATTGCTTGTTTTTGAAGCACTCATAAAAGCACTGAATAAATGTTTGTTGAGCCAATATTTACATATTTTCTTCTCTTAGTTAATTGGTTAATGGATTAGGTAATAAATCTTTGAGTCTAAAAATAACCATTATAGGGGCTGGGAAGGTAGCTCAGTGGTAGAGCGCTTGCCTTGCATGCATGAGGCCCTTGGTTTGATTCCTCAGCACAACATAAGCAAAAAGAAAAAAGCCACTTCTGTGGCTCTGTGGCTCAAGTGGTAGAGCACTAGCCTTGAGCTGAACAGCTGAGGGACAGCGCCCAGGCCCAGAGTTCAGACCCCTCGACCAGACCCAAAAACAAAAACAAACAAAAATAACCATTATAGCAGTAAAAGTCTATTAATAATCTGTTCTCAATTGTAATTCTAATTTGGTCAATTTGGTCATGGAAAGCCATTCGCTCCCTCCCTTTCCTTCCTTCCTCCTCCCTCCCTCCCTCCCTCCTTCCCTTCCTTCCTTCCTTCCTTCCTCTTTCTTTTTCTTTCCTTCTTTCTCTCACTCTCCTTCCCTCCCTCCTTCCCTTCTTTCCTTGCTTCCTTCCTCCCTCCCTCCCACCCACCCTCTCTCTCTTACCCTTTTCTGCTCTTTTTTCTTTTTTTCTGCTAGTGCTGGGGCTTAAATTTAGGAGCTGGGCACTGTCAAGCTTTTGTGCTCAAGGCCAAAAGTCTACCATTTGAGCCACAGCTCCACTTCTGGCTTATTTGCCTGTGCTGGCTCTGAACTGTGATCCTCAGACTTTACCTTTTGAATAACTATGACTATGCTTGAGCCATTGGCACCCTACAAGAATTGTTTTTGTGTTGTTTTTAAATACAAGTTGTAGTTTTTATTTTCTGGTACAAGTTTGTTTTATTTTATTTTTTTTGTGGGACTAGAGTTTGAACACAGGGCCTTCTACTTCCTTGATTGATGCTCTATTACTTGAGCCATGCCTCGAGCATTGCTTTTTACTGGTTAGTTTGAAGATGAAATCCTGTGAATTTTCCTGCCTAGGCTGACTTCAAACCATGAGCTAAGGATCATGGCATCCTGAGTAGCTAGGGTTGCAGGTATGAGCCACTGGCATCTGAATACTAAGATGTTTTTCTAAAAATTCCAACTAGCCTCCTTCAGGCCATCACACCACGCGTCATCCTCTATAGTATAAGAACCACACTGAGCTAACAAGTTCTGGAAGGTAAGTGATCTTACGCTGTAGGTGACATATAAGTCCTTCTTCAGTTCTAACTCTGGCCTTAAGATATTTTCCAGTGTTCTGTCATATCTATTGTAGGTTTGCATTCTTTGGCCCAGTTCAGATTGCCCCAGGCTATGTTAAAATTGTTTTTTGTTTGTTTGTTTGTTTTTTTACTATTTCTTGCCTCTCCCAAATGCTCTGACCACACAGAATTAGCCTATGGAACAGTCCTCATTCTTATTTTTCTCGCAGATGGACCAATAACAGAAGCACATTGTGGGAAAACACATTATTGTGAGACTTACTGAACATGTTATTCCAGGTCACATTTGTCTTTTCCTCAGACTCTTTTTGTTGGAAAAGGAGAATTCTATGATTGTCGAGGTTTTTTAACAATTCTTCACAGTAATATGGAATTCCACAGCTTCCCTCTACCAGGTACCTGAATTGACAACAAGGAAAACTGTTTTTGTCAAAGAGCCATCTTTTAATCAGAGCCAGTGGCTGGAGCTTGTAATCATAGTTACTTGGGAGGTGTAAGTTTGGGGATCATGGCTCTAGACCAGCCCAGGCATCACATTAATGAGTGTCTGTTATCCCAGCTATGGCAGAAGTACAATGGCCAGGAGCAGTGGTGAGGGTCTGCCATCCAGGTGACTCCAGAAAGCCCAGGTAGGAGGATCACAACTCAGGCTGGTCAGGTCATAAAATGAGATCTGACCTAAAATGGGATGAGGCATGGTTCAAGAGGCATAGTGCACAAAGCCCTGAGAGTTCATTCCCCAGAACCACCAAAACAATGTCTTTTAGGAAGGAAAGTTGAGTTTTTCAATACTTGAAATTACTCTGCTTTCATTCTCCATTTATTTGTTTGTTTTAAAGTTTTGGAGATTTTTTTTAAAGTTTTCACATATTTATTTATCATTATTATTCTTTTTTTTCCCCTCTTGCTGGTCCTGGAGCTTGAACTGGGTGCTATCTCTGAGCTTTTGTGCTCAAGACTAGTGCTCTACCTATTTGAACCACAGCTCTACTTCCAACTTTTTGTGGTTAATTGGAGATAGAAGCCTCACAGACTATCCAGCCTGGGCTAACTTCAAACCGTGATCCTCAGATCTCAGCCTCCAGAGTAGCTAGGATTACAGGATTATAGCCATCAATACCCAGATTAATTATCTTTTAAAGTACATTTCACTGTTAATTTAGATCTCTAAGATACCACACTGGCCAGGCACTGGTGACTCATACCTATCTTAGCTACTTAGGAGGCTGAGATCTAAGGATCTAAATTCAAAGCCAGCCCAGGCAGGAAAGTCTCTGAGACTCTTATCTCCAATTAATCAAAGAAAAATTCAGACGCTGGTGCTGTGCTTCACGTTGTAGAGTGCTAGCCTTGTGCAAAAGGATCACAAGGACAGTGCCCAGGTCCCAAGTTCAAGACCCAGGACTGGCCAAAAAAAAAAAAAGGTACCATGCTAAGTTTTTACAAGTTAGTGAAAAATGTCAAATTATGTCTTCCACAGAACTCTAACTACACATAAATTAATTATATAACAAAACAAGTTATCAAGTATCCAAATATTAAGTTAAATGGCTTAACAGAAATATAAAATTACAAATGTCTGCTAAAATCACTAGCAGAAACCCACTTTTATGTTTATAAAAGAGGTTAAGAAGAGAATGATAAAAATCATAATTCAAATAACATGTTTTTATTTGAATATAAATTGATAAACAATTTCTATTAAGGGATAAGATTATAAGAATTTAAATTTTTTTATAAATTGTTTTACCTCCAGCATCACCTCTACCTTTAAAATATATTTACTAGACATAAGAGCATGCTCTACATGTTCTGCTCAAGTCAAACACAACACTTTAATAAAAAATTGTGATATCCTCTATCAGTTTTTTTTCTTTTTTTTTTTTTAGCCAGTTGTGGGGCCTGAACTCTGGGCCTGGGCACTGTCCCTCAGCTCTTCAACTCAAGGCTCCAAAGCCAGGTGAAAATGACTGTGTTTAATTGAAATGATGGATTCAAAATTTGATATATATTGACAGGTAAACACATCTTCAGCAGAAGTTAGAAAGGGAAAAATGAACCCAGTATCTATAGTATAGTACCCTTGCTTCCTCAGCATTCCAGCTTTTCCTTTAATGGTGATCTACTTGGAACCATATATCTATGGAGATCAAAAGCTTGCTGCACATAGTACATAATAGACCCCTCCTTGGTTTTTTTCACTCAACAGTGTACCATGACCATACCTCTATATAAGTAGATCTTTCTCACTTCTTCTTATTATACATGACTCTGTTGGATAGATTCATCCTAGTTGTTTATATTTATCCTCTTAGGGATGAACATTTGGATTTTTTTTGATCTCTTATTCACACAAATTATGCCTAAAGACTTGGTCTATATATTACTTTGCATTTTTGTCAATGTATCTTGGAAATAGATTCCTAGAATTGTGATTTATAGATTGAAAGGTAAATGCAGATTTATACACATATATAATGATATCACTCTATATGTATATCCATATGTGTATTTATACAATTTCCAAGGTTTAGTAGGGAAGCTATGTGGAAAAGATGAGCAGTATCTGTCCTACCAAGTATAATTTAATGTCCTCAAATGATAGGACAAATGTAAGTACCAAAATAAGCATTTCAAGATACATACTAAGGAATTTAGTACCTAGATTTAGGACCTAGATACCAGATTTCAGTAAAGAAACAAATCACTTACGCATCCAGCTCTTTGGAGATACTGCTCACATTGAGATCAATACAGACCTTGTTGCGGATGTCCTTAGGCTGCATTGCACCAAGGATAACATAGGTGGTGTTCCTATTCTTCATTATAGCACTGGCAGATGCACAGGGAGTGTCAATGAAGGGAGACAAGGCCATAATAATGAAGATGGGAACACTTTGGATGAGCCTCTCCATAAAGGTCCAGGAGGCTATATCTACAAATTGGGCCTCATCAATGATGAAAATAATCCTTTCTTCTTTCACCGTCTAAAAAAAGTAGAGAAAAAGAATGAAAAATACTGTAAGCCTTCAGAGTTTATACTTGTGTATGGGTAAGCTTGCATATCCATTGTGTTTTGTGGTTTGCTTATGATTATGAGTATGTTCTAGACAAATGGGATCCTTTTCTTTTTGATAACTTTATATTAATTTGGGTTACACTGACTTAGAATTTATAGCAATTTGTATATCTGGTTGAACTGGGTTCTTGGATAAAACTTCATGGAATGAAAATCAAAAAAGAAGAAAGAGAATGAAGGAAAGAAAAAAAGAAAAAAACATTGAAAGTTTGGAGTGTAATTATTCATAGTATGTAATAGGTCCTGGGTTGGATTTTCAGCACCAAAAGCAATAAGGGCAAATTTGTAGGATAAAGTTGTCAGGATACCCACAAAAAGTCAAGTCATTTTAATCTGTTGACAGATGGAGATATCTATTTGAAATTTGTTTGGCCTACAGATACTTATTAGCACCATTGGTTTGAGGATAGACATACAGTGGAGAGGGAAACTGATCTGATTGTGGCCTGGCTGGCAGTTTATGCTGTTCTTTTTTGGACTATGATATGTATCACACTTCAGACAGATTGTGTTCTTTTTCTTGTATAGACTACAACTAGATTGAATTATTTATTCACTGAAGAAACATTTAGTGTGCATAGTTCTAGGTACAGAGGATATAGTCTTTTTGTTGTTGTTGGTGGTGGTCATGGGGTTTGAACTCTGGGTTTGGGCACTGTCCTTCAGCTCTTCAGCTCAAGGTGAGTGCTCTACTGCTTGAGCCACAGCACCACTTCCAATTTTCTAGTGGTTAATTGGAGATAAGAGTCTCACGGACTTTTCTGCCTGGGTTGTCTTTGAACCGTGATCCTCAGTAGTTAGGATTACAGGTATGAGCCACCAGCGCCCAGCAGGATATAGTCTTAAAATACAGACTTCCCACTGTCCTGTCAGTCATTTGCAAAGCAAGACCTTCCTAATAAGTGAGTGGCTTCATGTGGTTCCTTTAGCCCATATTTCCCTCTGCACTATTTTAATAAAAAACAAAGCAGCAGAGTTTATTTTAAAATGATAAGGCAAGTATCAAAAATGTTACCACTTGCTTTATTATATATATGTAACTATTTTTATAGCCTATCAACAAATATTTAACAATTCACTAGGCCCGAGAACATTTCTTCAATGGGAAAAATAGCATTACATTGCTCTGTGTCTGACTGATATCTTTAATAAAAAGATGGGGCAGATAGAGTTTTAAGCCTGAGAGTATGTCACAGTTTTAGAGCACTTGCCTAACATGTATAGGCCCTGGGTTTAACCTTCAACACTGCAAATTAATAATAACAACAATTTTTAAATGAAATATGTCTTAGTCATATGAAGGAGAGGGAGGGGCAGAGGGGAAAGGAGAGGAGAGGAGCTCATATTTGTGGAGTGTTTCTTATGGAAGGGATACGGAATTAAAGGGGTACCTAGCTCATAGATACTATTATTTCCTCCATGGGTACATAAAACAAAAGCACAGAGAAGTTAAGTCAGTTAGCCTAAGGTTCTTATGGTAGCAAGTAACAGGTCTAGGGGTTTGAACCCCTGCATAGTAACCATTTTGTGTACATGAGTGTTAAAGGTGCTGGGGATTGAACCCAGGGCCTTTCATATCTGTACAATCCTTCACACTGAATTATACCCAGGTCTCTTTGATGTCTCATACACAGAATGAGAAAAAGAGGGCCAAAAGAGGTTAAAGTCCCAAGAGTACTTCTTGGGGGCTCCTTTTATACCTATTTAAATTCTAAACAGACATGGCTCAATATTTGGAAGGATGGAGGAGAAAAGTACTTGGGCCAGCTGGCTTCATATCCACTTGCCCCCGACCCCTTACATTCTCCCCAGCATGGTGTGATCCGCAAGAACTCTTACTTTCTCTAAGATCTTCATAAACAGGGCTTCCAAATGCTTTTGTTTTCTTGTGGTGCTCATCTTGGAAATCTCCCGTGAAATGGGAAACTGTACAAAGAATTTTGAGAATATTGAGTATAGGAAAACAGTGAAAGGAACCCTTAGCTGTGTGACTCTGGGAAAAATCACTTCACTGTTGCCTGTCAAAATCCTCAAATGTTGGGTTGAGGGCATGGCTCAAGTGGTTGTGTGTCTGCTGAAAAGCATAAAGCCTTGAGTTAAAAAAAAAATATTGCCACAGCCAGTAGCTTATGCCTCTAATCCTAGCTACTCACAAGGCTGAGATCTGAGGATTATAGTTTAAAGGCAGCCCAGACAGGAAAATCCATGAGATTCTTATCTCCAACTAACCACCAAAAAGCCAGAAGTAAACTTTGGCTCAAGTGGTAGAACACTATCCTTGAGCAGGACAGCATCTGGGCCTTGAGTTCAAGCCTTAGTAATGGCATAAAAATTATTCAAAAGCTAGATAATGCATAAATTGTCCTTTCTGGCTTTAATTTTGTCATGGAATCATTGGTGAATTACTTAGTGCAACAATGAATTGTACTTAGTGTAACATAGTATATTAAATATAACATTAAACTTTTCAATGAACTAGAGTATAATGGAAAAGCTTTAGTCATGCCTAGTGATTTGGAGGAATTCTCACTAAAAAGATAGTTGAAACTCAAGGATGAGCATTTCTTCAAGTTAATTTTGTCTCAGCATCTGTTCAAGAGAGAACAAGGCACATCTATTTCTCTATTGGCAGGTTTTTTGTGGGAGCAAAGTGACTGTATCCTAGAGATCAGCTAGGATAGTATAGTATAGGTATGTTGGAAAGGTGAGAAAAACACAAATTAACAAGTGGCCATTTGCAATTTTTAGTGTCTCAAGAATGTGGATACAGTGGCTAGGGATCGCAGTGGTAGAGCTCATGCTTCATATGTATGAGGTCAGAATTTCCATTCCTAGCAGCACACACACACACACACACACACACACACACACACACACACACACACACACAATGTGGTTGTATTTTCAAAGAGGATTAGAACCTTACTACTTGGATGCCCTAGATGAAAAGTAAAACAGATAACAAAGCCTGAAGAGACCAAGTCATGCTGAGTACTATGGCTCAAACCTGTAATAGTAACTACTTGGAAGTAAAGATTGGGGGATCATAGTTCAAGGCCAACCTGGGCAAAAAGAAGTTCTCAACTGATGGCTGGTGGTAGTGAGTGATACTCACTTGTCACCCCCAACAACTTGGGGAAGCAGGAGGATCACAGCTCCGGCCAACCTGAGCATAAAGCAAGACTCTCTCTGGAAGATAAGCAATGCAAGAAAGGGGTGGAAGCATGGGTCAAGTGGTAGAGTGCTGGCCTAGCAAGCAGGAAGCCCAAATTCAAATCCCAGTACTGCCCTCTCAAAAGAGAGAGGAGAGAGGAGAAAGAGAGAGAGAGAGAGACAGAGACAGAGAGACAAAGAGACAGAGACAGAGAGAGAGGGAGGTGATAAGTTATAAAACATTGGGTCATTGGGGAGGAGGGTAGCTGCCATTGCCCCATGATCATTTCTTGCAGAAGTCTAATACTAGTTACCTGAACATGGAAAATATCATTAAGAAGACAGTGGAACTTGTCATCCAACAGTGTCTTGACTTTACTTTGAAGGTTGCTCTGTCGTTCTTTGTAATGTTTACAAGTATCCAGACCAAGTACATTAGCCATGAGTATCTGGATAGTATAAAAATTTTGATGGAAGCTGACCTTAGTCAATGCAATAGCAATAGTCCTGTTCATGAGACAATCAAGAATCAGAGGAGAATTTTAAATATGTATTCTAGAGATAATAAAGGCTCAGGATATCTTTGACCCCTCCCATTTACCTATCTGGAAACTAAGTCTTTGTTCTCTTTCAAGCCACTAAATTCTTAATTCTGGATAATTTAACTAAGCTATCCCCTGCTTTCCTTTGCTGAACCCCAAGGGTCAAAGTCCTAAGACTCTGGCCTCTACACAGTAGCATGCCACTTCTTTTCCCTGAATGTCATGACTCTCTGAAGACATCATATAAGGAAACCATAAGGATCTAGTTAAATGCAAATCTTTCAGCTGGGGTCATAGCTCTGATGTACATAGTATATTTGTCCAGCATGCATAGGGCTCTCAGTTTGCTAGGCTCTGACTAGAAATCTACCCTCCACCAATAAGTAGGTGAGAATTCCCTGCAGACTCAGAGCTGTGCCTCCTCTCCAGGCCTTTTGTTTCTGCTCAGCCTGGAGTGGTTATCACTGCTCACCATCCCAGCTCTGCTGTTCAACTGTAAACCTTGGCTCAGGTTTGGCCTCCCCTGATGCACCAAGGTTGAGCCCAATATGCCTCCCTCACCCTTCTCTGAGCTTCCAAGGGTACGCTTATCAAGTCTGAATCTGTGTCCTCCTCAGACAATGTTTTCATTGTTCTCTCTCCTCTTCTAGAGAGCTCTTTGAGGGCAGCAGACAGATATTGTTCACATTCAGGTTCTTGTACTTGTTATATGCTGACTTATGTCCCCTCCCCCAATTTGTGTATTTAACTTGTAGCCCCTAACATCTCAGAATGCCGCCTAATCTGGAAAAAGGGTGGTCACAGAGTAATTACTTAAGGTGGGATCGTATTGGAGTGGGCTTCTAACAAATATGACTGGTGGTCTTATAAAAAGGAGAAATTTGGATTAAGAACACACATGAAGATAAAAAGCAGAGACAAGGGTGATGCTTCTACAAACCAAGGAAGAACAGACATTGTTAGTCAACTACTAGAAGCTAGAGGAGAGACATGGAACAGATTCTGTCTCATAGAGCAGAGAGGGAACCAACCCTTCTAATACCTGGATCTCACAAAATATGAGGCACAAACCTTTTCTTCTTCTTTTTTTTTTCTTGGTCGGTCCTTGGGCTTGAACTCTGGGCTTGGGTGCTGTCCCTGCACTCGCGCTCTACCGCTTGAGCCACAGTGCTACTTCCCGTTTTCTAGAGGTTTATTGGAAATAAGAGTCTCACGGACTTTCCTGCCCGGGCTGGCTGCCTATGATCCTCAGATCTCAGCCTCCTGAGTAGCTAGGCTAACAGGCATGAGCCACCCGCACCCGGTTTGAGGCACAAACTTTCTGTTGGAAGGCTAGGCACTGTGGATCATGCTTATAATCCTAGCTACTCAGGGACAGAGATTGAAAGGATTGTGTTTCAAGAAGCCAAAAAAAGGCAAAATATGGGAAAATACATCGCAACCAATGAAAAGCTGGTGTGGCAGAGCTTGCCTGTCATTCCAGTTACACAGGAAGCTTAAATAAGAAGATTGTGGTCTAGGTTTACTGGGATAAAAAGTGAGACTCTATCTCAAAAATAAGAAAAGCAAAAAACGTTGAAGTTGTGGTAGTGCATCTGCCTAGCAAATGAAAACCTAGGACCACTGCAAAAAATAAATTCCATTGATTAAGGCACCTAGTTTATGGGATTTTTACTAGCAGCTCTGGTGACTAAATACAACACTTCACAGTTCCTGCAACATAGTGGTAATTTAATAAATGAATGAACGATCTCTTCTGCAGTTTGATTTTGTTTGTTTGTTTTTTTGTTGATCATGGGGCTTGAACTCTGGGCCTGAGCACTATCCCTCAGCTCTTCAACTCAAGGCTAGCAATCTACCATTTGAGCCACAGCAGCTCTTCGAGATTTCTGGTGGTTTATTGGAGATAAGAGTTTCATGGCTTTTCCTGCCAGGACTGGCTTTGAACTGTGATCCTCCGATCTCTGCCTTCTGAGTAACTAGGATTATAGGCGTGAGCCACTGGTGCCTGGCCTTCTTCCACAATTTGATATTTTGAAATGTCTTTCTCAGGCTTGACATTAAAGATGATAGAAATTAGCTTAAACAAATACAAGGTTTGTGTTCCTCTTGTAGCTTTTAGGTGATGTTATAACATTCCTTATATATGAAAATAAACATGCGGAATGTACATTAGCTCTGCCTTCAGAGAAAAATCCAGAGGCTTGTCACTCTCTACTCTGCTCTCAGGACTAAATGGTTCAATTCCCTGTCAGCTGGCTGGATAAACTTGTGTCTCTTCTGCAAGCCCAAACCCACTCTTGATTGCAACATCCATGTAAATTTTGTTCTGAACACGCTTGCATATTAGAATTGTTTAGATAGTTTTAACAATATCCAAGCACCACTTGGCATTAAATTAGGACTTTGAGGGTTCAGTCTAGGTTCTCTTTCACTTAATTAAAAATGGTGAACTATTCAGCACAAAGGTCAGGACACTCAACAATTATAGATTGTGATTGTTTACAAAAAGTTATGTAAAGGAGAAAAACATCAACATAAAGGAAGCTTTTAAGATGATTCTGGGATTCTGAGTTCACAAGAAAGAATAGTTTCAATACACTTACCTGTGGTTCTCACCTTGGGCTAGATATTCAATTTCCACAAGTATTTGGCTTTTCCCACATCCAGATATACCCTCATACATTAAGATTTGGCTGCAGTTAGATATCAAAAATTCCTTCATTGTACACATGAAGTACTTGATCTCTTTTTCACGTCCTGTTAATTTTTTTAAAAAAGGAACTCATCAACATGAAAATATTCTTAACAATGCTCATTAAAATTTCATTTCAATATAATATAGAATATTGAGATTTACTGAGGATGTAAAACATGGAATTAAGCCAAGACTTTTTAATCCTAAAGCTTGTTTTCTGTTCTCTTTTCTTACAATACATTGCAAATAATCAGTAGATTATTATATTAGAATGTAAATTTATTAAAGTTAGAGCTTATTTATTTATTTAGTGCTGGTACTGGGGCTTGAAATTAGGTGCCTTGCTCTTTTCTTCAGTTTTTCTGCTTAAGGCTGGTACTCTACCACTTGAGCCACACCTTCACTTCTGACTTTTTACTGGTTAATTGAAGATAAGGTCTCTCAGATTTGTCTGCCTAGGACTGGGCTTCAAACATTAACCCTCCTATCTCAGCTTTCTGAATAATTAGGAATTCTGGTGTGAGCCACTGGCACCCGGCTAGGATTAATTTTTTTATTCCAAATCTATGATGAAGAAAAATCTTTTATGAGTGAAAACTGCATTTGTCTCAGGTACTAGATATATTATTGTTGACAAGAAAATCCAATTTACCCTCAAAAATCATGTTTAGAAAAGAAAAAAATCATGTTTAGATTGTTTTTATCATAAGGGCAACCTAAATAATTAGTAAAATATTTTTCTGATTATGAAACTAACACATAGTCGCTGTAGAAAACTTAGAAAATAAAAAGAACAGAATAAGAAATCCCTCACCTATCATGGGAGTTATGTTCCAGAGACCACAGCGTTAGGTGAAAATCCGTGAAGTAGCAGCTTTACATTTATTTTATTTTATATATATATATATATATATATTTATTTATTTATTTATTTATTTAAGGCTTTACAAACCCTTCCCACTTTCCTATAAACCCTTCCCACTTTCCTATAAACCCTTCCCACTTTTCTATAAACCTTTCTTGCTCTCTTATTAACCTGAATTAACATTTTTATATTTTTCATATAGTTTAAAATTTTTTAGGCAAAAATAATTAAAATCATAAATATTATATAAATACCTACACTGCAAAATCCCATGATATAGCGAAAACTCTGTGATACAGAATCAGATATATATATATATGCATACATATATACATACATGTACATATATACTCATATATATATATATATATATATATATATATATTTAAACCTGCAATACAGTGAAGCCTCAATAAGTGAACCCTGATATAGTAAGGGCCAACTGTAACTATGGGTTACAACCTGATCACTATTATTTTTGTGTTTTTAAAAATACATGTAACAGGATGCCCTACCTTAAGTCTGAAGGTTAGTTCTTAATCTTTGAACCCTGAGTAGACAGGAAGGAGCTGATTTCAAAGTAGTGAACAACTTCTGTCAAAGAGCTGGGGGCTCTTATAGACCAATTACACCTTTTTTGCTCCATACAGGGCTATGGAGGGCCAATCATGGATAGAGCCCATACACACTCAGGTATTACCTAATGTCTTTGTTGAAAACCAGCATCATTTTAGAAACTGAGCCTGTGTGCTTTGCTTTGCAATGTACATTTCTGGGCATGATTCAGTGAAAACTACTTTGTAGACTATATTGCTTTTTTTGAGTAAAATATTACTCCCTTCCCTTCCCTCCCCTCCCCTCCCCCTTCACTTTCCCTTTTCCATTTTCCCTTTCCCTTCCTCTTCTCCTTCTCCTTCCCCTTCCCCTTCTTTAGTTGCTTTTTAGATAGGGTCTTGCACATTTTACCTTAGAACTTGCCTTGAACAGTGATTTTACCACCTCCATTTCCAAAGAAGCTGTGAATTACAGATGTACACTATCATTCCTGGCTTGTTCTTTGAGGTAAGGGTCACTAACTTTTTTGGGGTGAGGAGCCTCATTCTATCTTAACTTTCTAAGAAACTGAAATTACAGATGTGAGCTACCAGGTCCCACTTAAAACATTCCCTTTTAAAAAAATGTATTTAGACTTTCAGTTCTGTGAAACTTGTTCATTGGAATGTTAAGTGAACTTTAAAGGCTGGAAACATGGCTCAGCACCTGCCTAGCAATTCTGAGGCCTTGAGTTCAAACCCTAGCATCTCCATAAATAAATAATGAACAAACAAATGAAATGAGTTTAAGTCAATTTATCTTTAAATATATGTATGTTATTTCTATCTAAGCAAGATCTTAATATCTGGGATTGTTATAAGCCTTTGATCTTAAGAAAAACAGTGTTCATACCTTATAATTTTGTTATTACAGTTTTATTTACAGGAGCTCTTTTAATAGAAGGGTAATTTACATACTGTCAATTTCTGGCAATGTGTTTATGGCTATTGCATTAAAGAAAAGTTCTTGAGCTTGATTTTTACCTCCCCACTGGTGGAATCAAAACTCACTACTTACCCAGCAAAGGGTAACCTTCATTTCTGTTGCAGATGAGATACGCCATACCAAACATGCTGAAAAAAAAGAAAAACATGTTTAGATTTAAAATAGGAAAATATTAAGAGCAGGACTGACTAGTTCTTAGTCCTCAGAAAGCTCCTTTTCAGTATCTAACAAGAGTCTGTCCCTTGACTCATGGGTTGCCAATGTCAGAGGAGAGAGAAGGACAAAATCTGCTTGGTCAATAAAGCCTAAACAGCATGCAGCTGTTACTGTGGCACCTGACACTATTCAGTAATTGTTTAAGAGTGTGCATGGGTAGAAGAGATCCCTTTTTTCTCATGGATAGTGGTGACAGTGCTTAAATCTAGGCCAGAGTGTATACACTTGCCCACTGCATTAGCCATCTCCTGAAGGAGCCCCTTAGAACCAAGCACTCCTCTGTACCACCATATAACTTTGCTATTCCTCGCTTGCAGTACATATCAAAATCTTCCATGAAAGTAACTTTGTATGTGCTGTCAATGTTCCCAGAAGGAACCAAGCCCTGTTCATGTTTGTATGCGTATTTCTTCACTTTTCTGTTTGTTCCATTACTAGGGCTTGAACTCAGGGTCTTGTGCTCTCGCTTGACTTTCTTGCTCAAGGCTAGTGCTACCACTTGAGCCACTCCTCCATTTCTGGTTTTTTTTCTGCTAGGGCTGGTTGCTAACCGCAATCCTCAGATCTCAGCTTCCTAAGTAGCTAGGAACACAGATGTGAAGCACCAGTGCCCAGAAATTAATTTTTCTACACTTCTTTCTGCAGAGATAGCACACACACACACACACACACACACACAGAGTCTAAAGAGTGAGGATTTTTGGATCAGATTAGTCCTGGGCTTTTGTAGTTAACTGACTGTAGAAACAGCCCCACTAATTCACCCAACTTGTATCTGTGCCCTTTGGTGCCTACTCAGCAGTACTCTCCTGCCCTGATCCCAGCCTTGTGAATGTTTTAACCAAAAGACACAAGATATGAAAGATGGCTTGAAAATTTCTTGTGCAGGGCTGGGAAGATGGCTCAGTGGTAGAGCGCTTGCCATGCATGCCTGAGGCCCTGGGTTCCATTCCTCAGCGCCACATAAGCAAAAAGAAAAAAAGCCAGAAGTGGTGCTGTGGCTCAAGTGGTAGAGCGCTAGCCTTGAGCTGAACAGCTGAGGGACAGCGCCCAGGCCCAGAGTTCAGGCCCCACAACTGGACCAAAAAAACAAACAAACAAAAAACAAAGAAAAATTCTTGTGCATTGGACCAGCTCTCTCTTACTCTTCTGATGTTGCCATGGCAACATACTTAATGGAGGATGAGATACACAGAATCAAATTTCCCTAGCTATTTCAGCCAAACTGCCTAGTTATCTCAGCTCATGCTGTCTTGGCTCAGCAAATAACATGCTGACTATCGGACTCATGAATAAAACCAAGGTGAAATCATCCAATCCAGTTAAATTCAATTGTATCCCATATATTTGTTGGAAAAAGGGTTTTGTTTGCATGTGGAACTGAGGTTTAAACTCAGAGCTTCTTACTTCTAAGGCACACCTTTATATTTGAACCACACCTTTACATCTTTTTGTGCTTTAGTTATTTTTCAGATAGAGTCTTGAGTTTTGTCAGGGGCTAGCCTCAGATCACAACAGCTTCCTAGGTGGCTGTGATTAAAGATGTATGCTACTGTTTCTAGCCCTTATCGTTTTATACCACAAAGGTTTATGGTTGTCTGTAATACTACATTATTGTGGGAGTTTGAGTCTTGGCTCCATAGCCTATTAGGGATATGACTATTAAAAATCATTTTATATCTCTGAGCCTTAGTTTTTAAATTTATAAAATAGTCATATTAATAGTTTCTACCTCATATAGTCAATCTGAAGAAGGAAGGAAGATAAATGCCTAAGATTTAAATGCTCACTCAAAATTATCATCCATCCATTCACTCAGTCAATTAGCGATTATGATGCCCTATGTATGCCCAGTCAGGTAAACAGTAAAGGCTCTCTGAACTACTAACTGTAACTACTAACTACTAACCTTTCAGACCTAGATTCTAGCTTGTTAATAGGGTAACAATTTTCTACTTTCATCTTCATTCACACAGCCCTTCATTTATTCATCATTAAGGGTCTACAAAACGTGCTAAACACTGACAATATAAGAGTGAAGAAAAAGTAATTTATGGGCTGGGTAGGTGGCTCAGTGGTAGAGCGCTTGCCTTGCATGCCTGAGGCCCTGGGTTCGATTCCTCAGCACCACATAAGCAAAAAGCAAAAAGCCGGAAGTGGCGCTGTGGCTCAAGTGGTAGAGCGCTAGCCTTGAGCTGAAGAGCTGAGGGACAGTGCCCAGGCACAGAGTTCAGGCTCCATGACTGGACCCCCCCCCCAAAAGTAATTTATATCCTCCTCAAAGAGCTCACAGTGTAGTAAGGAAAAAGCATATCAAGGTCAATAGTTGGGATACAGAGGTTGGGAGTACAGCTCTGTAGTAGGTGGGTAATTAGGATGTGTGAGGCCCTGGGCTTGGTACTGATTTCCCTAGGACAAAATAATTGTGATATAGGGTGCTGAATTCTCTAATAGAAGCCTGGGCTATACTGTCTAAGATGGAGTCCAGAGCCATTCTTAAAAGGATTAGATTCTTGGGCTGGATTTCAAAAATTGACTGACTGGAGTATGCTGGGTGAGGACAAGTCTCCCCTGAGTAGAGGGGAGATGGAGTTGGAAAGGCTACCTTGTAAAAAATTTGAATGTTATTAAAAAAAGAAATTGAGTCCCACCCCCAAAGGCTTATACCTATACTCCTAGTTACTTGGGAGGCTGAAGTTTGAGGGTTGTAGTCTGAACCCAGCTGGGGGAGGAAAATCCATGAGACTCTTATCTCCAATTAACTGCCAATAAAAGAGAAAAAGAAAGAAGGAAAGGAAAGAAGGAAGGAGGGAGGAGGGAGGGAGGGAGGGAGGGAGGGAGGTAGAGAGGAGGGAGGGAGGGAGGGGAACTGTGTGAAGAGAGTGCTAGCCTTGAGTTAAAAAAAGCTCAAGGACAGCACTCAGGTCCTAAATTCAAGACCCAGGACCAGCGCGCGCGCGCGCGCGCGCGCACACACACACACACACACACACAAAATAAAATAGAAAAAAACTATGGAAGCGCTGGATGCTGGTGACTCATCCTAACTACTCAGGAAGCTGAGATGTGAGGATCTTGGTTCAAAGCCAGTCATGGCAGACAAAGCCTGAGCGACTCTCATCTTCAATAAACCTGCAAAAACCCAGAACTGGAGTTATGGCTCAAGTGATAGAGCCTCAGCCTTGAGTGAAAAAGCCAAGTAGAGCAAGAGGCCCCAAGTTCAAACCCTAGTGCCGGAAAATAAAATAACAGAAGGATTCTAAGCTCTAATGACATCCACACATCTAAGCTAGGCTTTTAAGAAGTATATTTCAGTATAACCTAGAAGTGGGGAAATATTTTCTTTTAACCCTATCAGTGCTTGGGCATACTGTTGGCATAATCAGTAGGTATTGGATGGCGATTGGTTCTATCTGGATGTAAATAGATATAAGTTGGGTGATTCTCTGTTCTGTTCATATAACCCTTTAAGAGTCCTCTTCAGCTTATCAGCCCTAAAGGAAGACTTGGCTTTTTCACACACTATCTAGTAGCTTCACAGAATAGTGTAGACTCTTGAATGGGTGACCAGTTGTTTTGCTATCACAATTCCCACTTGTTTCCTAGAAAAGACTGAAAAACCAATGCCCACACTCACACTTTCTCATTAAGGCCCAAACACTGATAAATTGGTCCAGAATCCCCAACACCTTTCATAACTTTCTTTGGAAGCTCTTTAAAAAAGTAGGCCGGTAGGTTGCTGCCATTGTAGGTGACAGAGTCACAGGTCACGATTCCGGGGTAGTACATCATCATTCTGGCAGCTATGTTGACTTTTTGACCAATAACTATAATAGGAAAGAGAAAAGTCAAAGAATGGGGGTGGGAGACAGGGGAAGCTGGTAAACTGAGAATACTCCCCAAATGACATTTTGATCTTTATTTTATCCCTCAGAAGTGACACTTAAGTTTGGTCTCTACTACCCATAGTCAGATTTGCCAGATGCTGGTGGTATTTGCCAGATTACATTCCTATAATCTTAGCTACTCAGGAGGCTGAGATCTGAGGATTGCAGTTCAAAGCCAGCCCAGGCAGAAAAGATCCTGTGAGACCCTTATTTCCAATTAATAATAACTCAAAAACTGCAAGTAGAGCTGTGTCTCCAAATGGTAGAGTGCTAGCCTTGAGTAAAAGCTCAGGGATAGTACCTAGGCTCTGAGTTCAAGCCCACAACTAACCAAAAAAAAAAGATTATGTATATATGCTGAATGAACCTTCATTTGGTGATTTCTCAAGAGGATGACAATGGGACTTGAAAGGAATGTGTATGGAGGATTGACCTAGGAAATTTTAAGGGACAATATCCCATTGTTCACAGACTCTGGAGTAAGACTCCGGTGGACAGGATCAAAACCCAGCTCTGCTTCTAACTACTATATAAATTAGTTTATTAGTCTACCTCGGCTCCCTAGTCTATAAATGAGGATGGCAATACTACCTATCTCAGAGGGTAGTTTATGAATATTAATAGGTTAATGCGAATTATAGCTTTGAACCCTGCTGCATTTTTTTTTGTCGGTAATGAGGCTTGAACTCTGGGCCTGGACGCTGTCTCTCAGCACTTCAGCTCAAGGCTAATGCTCTACCACTTGAGCCATAGCACCACTTCAGGCTTTTTCTGCTGATGTGGTGCAGAGGAATTGAACCCAGAGTCTCATGCATGCAAGGCAAGCACTCTACCACCGAGCCTGCATTTCTGTTAAGCTCTCAATATTACTACTAAGTATGAAGTGTTATACTTCAACACTATTCCTGTGACTAAGCTTTTCTCTTTTCTAAGCAAGCACTATATTACTGAGATATACCCCTCTTCTCCAGCCAAGGTATTCTTTTTAAAACTTGAAAAATAAAAAGAACAGAAGGCCATTGTTTTGGACTAGTCTTCTATACTGGGTTCTAAGGAGTATGAGTAAAAAATCAAAATGAAATCACCCATGCTAAAGTTGAATGTAATGAAACTAAGTTGTCATCTCACCTCCAGAAAAGTCCGGGAGGATACCAGCCTATTTCCAAGTCAGGATAGTTTTAATTGGCACAGTAATGAAGTTCTCTCTGCTTTAATCCTTATGCAAAGAATGGTAATCTCAAATAATCAATCAGTGATTTTCCTTTTGTTCTGTCTCCTAGTCTTGGCCTTACAAGGAATCTAACTTGGAAATGATCGATTTTTGTTGTTGATGTTGTTGTTCTTTGGTTTGGCTATCTTTGGTCTTTTCTCTGTCTACTCTTTGAAACATTTACTTTATCTTATGGAAGGGCTATCCATTGTTGTAATATTGGCCTTTGACAAACATTGCTTATTGTGGGAACTTTTCATACTACATTAGAGCATAATGGTAACCTATGGCATATCCCACCTCCATCCTCCCTCCCATCTATTCTCCAACCCAAATTGCTTGGAAGAAAATCTCAGACATTGCATGATTTCAGACACAATTGTTAAGAGTAGGCACATAGGTAGATAGGAATAGGAATTTAAAATGCCTGAGGCAATAAGATTCTATTCCCCTTCTCTGATGGCCCACACCTTGGACCAATGGCTATATATTCTCCTTCAAAACATACTCTTCATATCAAATTTATGCCTGTATCTTGAGAGCAAAATGATGCTTCATGACTTTCCACTGGCCAGGCTAAACTGGGAAGGGCAAAGAGGATAAAAAGCACAGGGACCCACCTTTACCTTCTCAAAAGCCCAGACATATATAACTTCCATACCTGGGCAGTCACCGAACAATTGCCAATTGATCCCAAAGTGAAGGGCTCAATTTCTTATCACAAAATAATCCCATCTGATTGGATAATAAAACCCCAGACCCAACAACTTTTTGACAGTTGACCTTTATCGAAACTGCCCAAGATATAACTTAGCTTTGCTATAAAATCATTCCTTGTTATCTTCCTACTCTTTGTGGTTCATTTGTGGCACCATGTCACAGCATCCTAATATTCAATGTTGCATCCAAAGGACTAAGGAACATCTGAAACATCCCAAACATCACTAAAGTAATTATTCCAGTGTGTCAAATGTAGTCAATATTTTAGAAATATATTATTGTTGAACATCTTGAACCCTAACAGGATGAAGCAGAAGATTATACCTACTTGTTGCTATTCCTTTGAGAGTAGAATTATTTTTCAGAAATATCAATACTCATAGTTTTAAAGAAGCATTCCTAACCTATTTTAGGAATGAGCAGAAGTAAATATTTAATGTTAACAGGAAATTATTGCAACAACCTTTGAATTCCATGAGAATCGAGCACCTCCGTAATAGGGGTACCTTTAAACCTGGGAATCTAAGAGAACTGAATTGTTGTTTGAATATGAAATGTCCCCCACTGATTCATGTTTTAGGGACTTGGTTAATAAACAGCTGACTTTTGGAAGTGATTAATCAATTATTAATCAATCAATTATTAACATAAAATTATTAAATATTAACCAATTATTTATCCCTTATATTCATAATATGATGGTATTACTGGTTAGTGGTGGAACTGTGGAATGTGGGGACTTGTTTGGAGGATGAAGATCACTGGGGGTGCATTTCATCCCATGGTTCACCTCTTTTGCTCTCTGCCTCCTGTCCTTAGTTGAGCCATTTTTCCCCACCACATACTCCTCACCACAATGCTGTGCCTCACCATGCGAGGCCCAGAAACAACAGAGCCAAGTGACCATGGACTGAAACCTCTGCAACCATGAGCCAAAGTAAATCTTTCCTCTTTCTAAAATGGATTTCTGTCAGTTATTTTGTCATTATAACAAAAAGTCTAAAGCATCAACCACTGTCCTAACAAACTCCATTTTGTCTCTCTCACTTGTTCTTTCTCTTTGATTAATTTCTTCTTCCCTTATCTCTAACTCCAAGAATGGTGAGCCTTGCAGGTCATCTCATGACAAGAACCAAAATTGCTTCCCAATCCCATCCCTAAGCAATAATCATTTTTCCCTGGTACCACCAGGTCTTTGCAAAACTAAGGCTGGGATAATGATCAAGCAGATCACTAGCTGATAGTGTTATAGTACATAAACTTTTTATCCTTGCCCTACTCCTTCCCTTATGTAATCTGAATCCATTAGCAGTACTTCGAAGATAGAGCTTGGAAAGCAACTTCCCCTATTTCTTCCAGATGTGGCTATACTGAATAAATCTCTTTTCTTCACCACCCCTGGCCAATCGGATTATCCAATCCATCTGGCCTGTTGGGAACTATGAAGCCCAAGCCCTTTGGTGGAAGATTCCAGGAACATCTTCAAAAATGTACATTTTGCAAGCACCAAGCTCTCCATAGGCAAAGCTATGTGGACTGGGCCTGTATCTCAGTCATTTCTGAATTACCCCTATATCCCAAAGCTCAGTGGTAAGCACTGATTTTGATGCTAGAAAAGAGGAGCTAAGCTGGCTCTGCGCACCTGTGTACTCATGTCTCACAGTGTGTCCAACGATCCCACAGAAGACAATCCCGCTGGCCACGCCGATGGAGACGGTACTGACACCAGGGAGAGAGTTGTGGGGAAACAAAGGAAGAAAATAAGTATTTAAAACACAGAGAACATGATCAGAGTGGGGGAATGAGGAAAAGGTTAGGGAGGTGAGGGAAAAGATTTTCAATAAGTAATTCTTCTACTCTTTGAAACCAGTTTAAGGTAATGGCACATGAAATGGAAGGAGGGACATGATGTGGAGGAGGGACAAGTTTGAGGCACAGAACCAAGTCCTTAATTCTTTTCCTTCTTTTCTGTTCCCTGCGCTCCATCTGCTATTTCTATAAAAGGGCCAGAAACCATTGTGTGGGATCACAGCCAACACTCACTGGATCTTGTGGACCTGAGAGCAGAAGTCAAATATATCCACAGCACTCTCCAAAGCATGAGTGACCTCATCAGGTGCCTTTTCCCCAGGGAAACCAAAGACGCAGAGAAAGGAGCAGCCCTGTAAGAGAGAGTGGGCAAATACAGCTAGGGGACCTGAGCCTCCAACTGGATGAGCTGGAGACACTGGGCCACATCAATTGTCACTTTTTGAATCAGATGTCATCATGACTTCTTTCTCATCTATTTTATTTTCAGTAAGTGTGTGTGTGTGTGTGTGTGTGTGTGTGTGTGTGTGTGTGTGTGTGTGTGTGTTGGTCATGGGGCTTGAACTCAAGGCCTGGATAACTGTCCCTGAGCTTTTGTGTTCAAGACTAGCACTTACCACTTGAGCTATAGCTCTGCTTCTCATTATTAGGTGCTTAATTGGCAATAAGAGTCTCATAGACTTCCCTGCCCAAGCTGGCTTTGAACCATGATCCCTAGAGCTCAGCCTTCTGAGTAGGTAGGATTACAGGCATGAGCCACAGGTGCCCAGCAATTTATTTCAATAAAGTTTATATAACTTATAGTGCATCATTAATATTAGGGCTTGAGCTTGAGCTTTCTTAAAGGGCAGGACCAAAGAGACCAAAGTCTTATGCTCCAAGGTAAGAAGTCTAAAGCAGCACAAAGTAGTGGAAACATTCCCAGCTCTGGAATTAACAATTCTGTGATCAAACTGCCCAGTAGCAGCTCAAGACCCAGAGATCAAGCCCTAGTACTACCCCCACAGAAAAATCAAAATAATAACAAAAAATTCCAGAATTTCTGTCTTTCAGATGGAGATGAGTGGTACAGTACATGTTCAGTATGCATGAAATCCTAGGTAGAATACCTAGCACCTGAAAAAGATTGGAAGGGAGGATGTAAGGAAAAAAGGAGAGAAAGAAGAGAGGAGGAGAAGAAAGGGAAGGAAGGAAGAGAGGGAAACAGGAAGAGAGGGAGGAAGAAAGGGAAGGAGGGAAAAAAGAGGAAAGGAGAAAGGAAGATGGAGAAGGATGAAGGAAAAAAGGAGAGAATGAAAGAAAAATATAAATTCTGTTTCTCAGGTCATTTCTCAGGAAAGTTGGAGAAGTTAATTTTCACTTTTTAAACTTCAGGTTATCAATGGATAGAAATATGGAGCTTCCATTTACCTTCTAAAAATTTCATTTTTGAATAAAAAGAATGAGTGTCATCCATTTTAAAAATGACTTTGCAAACTATAAAATGTATTTCAACTAGTTATTATTCATAGGAAAGAGGGTTCCACTAGGAGTTTTCTTGGCACAAAGCTAGCTGTTCCAAGCAAAGATTAAATGGTAAAGCTTGGCATTCTTAGCATCAGCTCCTTAAAAAATGACCTGTCAATGCTGTTGTTGTTAAGAAAAGCATGACAGGCTAAAAATTTTGAGTGTCTACCTGTCATTCCAGGTGAAATGCAAAAGAATACTAAAATTACTAAAATTTTTTATCCTCTTCAAAAATAATTTGATCAGGGACTCCTGGCTCCTGGGCCCCTCTCTACTGAGAGTTTATATTCTAGTTTTGCTTTCAATTAACTTGCTGATTTATTATTATTATTATTAATAATTTGATCAAGTGTTAGATCCTAAAAGCACTGAGCTCTACCTTGACATGAAGGGCAAAGCCCTAATTCTTGGTCTATGTAAACACTGAAGGGCATATCCTCAGAGTACCAGCATGCATATTTGCACTGCTTGGTGTGTCCAATGGCATGCCAAGGTGAGCCCAGACCAGAAAGGCAACAACCTGGCTTTAAATCCCAGCCACCTACTGATGGATGATTATGAATAAAACTCCATCTCCTGTCTCTACATCCACTTCAATAACATGGAGATAATAGCTAGAGCACTTCCCTGAGTCATGAGGATGAGATGAATTAATATATGTAAAATGTTGAGGACAATGCTTGATAGGTGGTACTTGCCACGTGCACCATGTAAACCGTTACTATACAAGAAAAAAAGAGCTTCTTGAGATTTCTAGGTTAAATTTCAAATGGTCACTTCTCTCCTTCTCATCAGTGCTTTACCAGTAATGCTATTATCAAAGGAATTGACAGATTTCTATCTCTGAGTCCATATTTACCTTGTCAAACATGAAGACTTTGTTGATCTGGCCTCGGAAGACCTTCAGGACAGAAGTGATGTGCACACAGGCATCCTGGATGGCTGGCCCTATGACTTCTGCTTTGTCTTGTTCTTTAAACATCAGGTTCACAAACACTATCGTCACTGGTCGAAGCTCAGATAAATAACCCCCTAGCTGTTTGTCATCAATCTGCAAAGGCAGAGGGCAGCTTTCTAAGACATATGTCTTTGGCAGTGAATTCTTCCCTCCATCATTAATCTACCTGCTTGCCCAGAATCATTGTTGGGAAGAAACTAGCCTTTTGAGGCTCTGGAAAAGCTGAAGTGATCAGAATGTGTAAGGTACAACACAGCAGAGCCCACTTGCCTAAAATTTAGCTGATGGAAATGGAATGTGCTATCCAAATTACTCCCATTAATTCCTAGTACCACTTAGACAAACAAAAGGACTGGAAATATAGCTCAGTGATAGTTTGCTTGTATAAGGCTCTAGGTTCATTCCTTGGTAACTATTTGCAGTTTGAGCAAATACAAAAAACATCTCTTTTTCATGAGTAAGAATTTATGCACTTGCTAATTTTTGTCTGGCAACCAAAAAATTATCCCAACTAATTCCATTATCCCAACTATTAGCTTCCATAAAACAATACAAGTGCCTGGGCACTGGTGGTCACACCCGTAATTCCAGCTATTCAGGAGAATCTGAGTATCTGAGATCTGAGAATCATGGTTCAAAGCCAGATAGACAAGAAAAGTCCCCAATACTCCTATTTCCAGTTGAAGTGGAGCTGTGGCTCAAGTGGTAGAGTGCCAGCCTTGAGCAAAAAAGCAAAGAGACAACATCTAAGCCCTGAGTTCTAGCCCCAGTATCTGCACCAAAAATAAAAATTTTTAAAAATAGGAGTCCTTACTAAAAGGAAGAACTACTTTGAAATCTCTTATTCTTTGTAGCTTAAGGAAAGAATAGCATTATGTAATTTAACCTTAAAGTTTCAGGGCCTGGTGCCTTCTGGGATGTTTTTATATTCTTTCCCAGTCTAACTTCACACAAATGAAATAGTTATTATTATTATGATTTTGAAGAAGTAACACAATTTCCCCAAGGACATGTAGGGGAGAAAGTAGGCAATTTAAATGCAGGTCTCTAGATCTCTTTATTCCGACATTCCTCTACCACATGCTCCTGCCTCTTTGGGATGATATATTTTAGTTATGTCTCTCTACTCCTACACATAAGAGGCACAGGGAAAAGAGAACACACTCAAATTATTAAGCATATGGTAGGAGGGTATATAGCTTATGCCAAACTATAAGATTCATTCAGATTAAGATATACTGCTTTATCTTGCCAATGTAATTGTAACCCCTCTGTACAGTATTTTCACAATAAAAAAAATAAAAGATATACTGCTTATTTTATAACCCTAGGAAAATTCTAGTGTCTTTCTCGTATATAAAGTTGGGCTAAATGTTTGCCAAGAACTGTCAAAAACACGCATGTAATGACTGCTAATAATAGTTGCAATTCACATAGCTTAATATATTTGAGGATCTAGATTGGAGAGAATAAAAATGGAAAGCTTTGAGGGGGAGAAGGTATTTTAATTACCTGTATTGTGAAATCGCAGAACTTAAGATCTAATGGAAGGGACTTAAAGAAACAGTGTACCAATGGCCATCCACTTGATATCATTCTGCTCCATGGCACATAGAAATATAGGCATATAGGAATTTTTATGTATTATTATGTGCTAGAAATTACTACAATTATTCCAGTTATATAAGGTAACAGTGTCAAATTTACCTGTTTTAACAATGTAATAATGAATAATGCCCCTGCTTGTTTGCTTGCTTGCTTTCTTCCTTCCTTCCTTATCTCCTTCCCCCGCCCTTCCTTCCTTACATCTTACATATGCAAGGTGACTACTATGTCACTGAACTTCATTACCCTTGTCCCCACCCTATAATACTCGATATTATCCTGATCTAAACAATAAAGTTTGATGTCAGCTCCACATATAGAATATCTTTTTATTTAGGAACATTTTACTAGTTGCTGTTACTTTAAACCTTGTTAGCTGTTCAAAGATTCCTGAAAATCCCATATCCAATAAATTTAATTATGAAAATACCTGCTTCAAAATGTTTTCCATCACATATTTCTGCAGGGCTAACTCCAGTTTAGGATCAGACTCCAGCATGCAGGCAAGCCTCAGGATGTCTAAGAAGATAGAATAAGAGGGGCAGGCTCAGGGAAGGAGTCTTGGCTCAGCCATGCTAGAGACCAGCACCTCTTCCTTTCTATGCCCTGGGGCAGTGGTCCTCACAGTTTAGCCAGGAATCACTGAGACATCTAGTGGTCAAAAGAGCCCAGAAAACCTAAAGAGGAGTTCAGAACAGATTGTAGCTTTCCCAAAATTAAGTTACATTCAGCTTAAACCCCTGATCTAGCTGTAATCAGTGCTTTGGGATTTGTATCTGTGGACTTGATCTATAACTACTGACAAGGGCTTGGGGAGTGGCTCAAGTAATTTAGGGCTTGCCTGGCATGTGCCAGGCCATGGGTTCAATTCTCAGTACCACAAAACATTAAAAAGAATAAATAAAACTACTGCCAAATGGATGAGAATGGACAAAAGAGGGGTTAACAATAGAGAAAGATGGGGTTAGAAGGAAGGGCATGATAGATTCTAAGAGCAGTATGAGTCAGATTCAAGAAACTGGCTTCTGGCTGTGCACTGTTGCATAAAAATTGAACTGACCTTTGGCACTAGGTTCCAACAGACCAGTCAAAATACAAGTACAAATGGAGTCAAATTACCAAGCTCTAAATTCTTTGTTTGTCTGACTCTTTGGTTTGGTTTGGTTTGGTTCTTGATACTAGGTCTAGCTATATAACCTCAGTCTGGAAATTTCTCTGCAGTCATATTGGTCTGTACAGATCTTCCTGCCTCAGCTTCTTTTTTTTTTTAATTGTGAAAATACCGTACAGAGGGGTTACAATTACATGGGCAAGGTAATGAGTACATTTCGTATCAAGCATTGTTGCCTTCTCCTTTGTTTCCCTTAGTGCTGGAATTACAGTTCTATGTCACCAGGTTCAGCTGTGTTTATTTGACTTTCTGGAAAAATCAAGATAGAGTCAAAGTCAAATCTCCTCAATAGGCCAGTTTTAATTGCCATAATAATGAAATTCCCTCCACCTAATCCTTACACCTAGAAAGATAATCTGAAAGGATATTCACCAGAAACAATCTATTGTTGTTCTGTTTCTCAGCCCCTAACTTCCAAGAAAGATAACTGTAAAATAACCAATCTGTTTTTGCGATTTATAAGAAGTGTGTGTGTGTGTGTGTGTGTGTGTGTGTGTGCTGGTACTGGGGCTTGAACTCAGGACCTTGTGCTCTTGGCTTTTTTTTTTTTTTGGGTCCAGTCGTGGGGCCTGAACTCTGGGCCTGAGTGCTGTCCCTCAGCTCTTCAGCTCAAGGCTAGTGCTCTACCACTTGAGCCACAGCGCCACTTGGCTTTTTTCTTTTTGCTTATGTGGTGCTGGGGAATCGAACCCAGGGCCTCAGGCATATGCAAGGCAAGCGCTTTACCACTGAGCCACCTTCCCAGCCCCTCTTGGCTTTTTTGATCAAGAATGGCACTATATCATTTGAGCCACAGCTCCAATTGCTTTTGCTCTTTTTTTTTCTGCTTCCTTCAGCCTTTTTCTGTATATAATATCAACCTCATCTGTTCTGTTCCTTGCAACATTTACTCTTTTTTTTTTAACAGAATTTGCTCTTCTAGAATCACAAAATGAAGCCAATAAGGATCTTTTATTGTCTTTTGACAATAGCAATTCACAGAATGACTCTGGACAAGTCCCCAGGACCCTATATTTGTTGTTTCTGATTTCTTTCCCTGGGAAAAAGAAGTAGGGCTTGGTATTCTCTGTAGTTGCCATCCTTTAGTGATAGTTCTGTGCTTTATAATAGACTGGTAATAAATAGTAGGAATGATCTTGAATAAATTAAAAATAAGGTGATAGAAATGATGAGAAGTTTTTAGCAGAGGAGAATAAGATAATGTGAGACAACACATAAAATAAAAACAGACCCTAAAAGTACCTAAATTAAAAGGCATTTTGAGATTGTTTCTTGCTCACTTAAATGTATTCAAAATGATGTGCTAGATACTGTATGAGAATAAAAAGTAATTAGGAAACTTGCTTTTATCCTTGAGGCCATTACTGTCTCATTGAACAGTCAAATGTATGTGTAGAAAAAGTAAATAGAAAAACAAAGAAGTAGGGCTAACTAAGCTAACAGGTTTTTAGACCAGAGATACACCAAGCAAGCAAGAGCTGTTTTAATCAAAAAAAACTCTCCAGGAGACATAGAATTTTAACTCATCTTGAGTTGTTATTACATTTTGTGACACAACTTGAGGAGAGCATGTCTACACCATAAAGGCATTAGTTGTTTGTATGTGAATTTATGTGTGTGTGTGTGTGTGTGTGTGTGTGTGTGTGTGTGTGTGTGTGTGTGTGCCAGTCTTGAGGCTAGAAAACAGGGCCTGGATACTGTCACAAAGTTGTTTGTTTTTTAAAAAAAATTATTATTCTCAAAAAACCTCACAAAAACTTGGGCCACACTTCCACTTTTGGCATTTTTGTGGTTAATGGAGATAAGAATCTCATGGACTTTTCCTGCCCAGGCTGACTTTGAGCTTCCATGTTCATGTTTCAGCTTCATGAGAAGCTAAGATTACAGATATGAATCACAGGTGACTGGCATGACATTCGTTTAAACCTAACATAGTATGTTAAAGGAGGAGGAAGAGCCTTTTCTGGCTGGAGTCCCTTGTGAACTGGAGATTTAGAAGAGATGATATTGAACAGATAGTAGAGAGGAGCCAGGCATTTAGGAAGAGGGAGGAGTACAAAAGCCTGGACCTTTATGGTAGCAAAGTTTATAAAGAGTTAAGTGCCTGGGGCTGGGAAGATGGCTCAGTGGTAGAGTGCTTGCCTTGCATGCCTGAGGCCCTGGGTTTGATTCCTCAGCACCACATAAAGCAAAATGAAAAAAGCTGGAAGTGGCGCTGTGGCTCAAGTGGTAGAGCGCTAGCCCTGAGCTGAAGAGCTGAGGGACAGCACCCAGGCCCAGAGTTCAGGCCCCACGACTGGACCCCCCCCCAAAAAAAAGAGTTAAGTGCCTATTATATGCCAAAGAATTTAGCAGGTCTTTATTCCAGGTTCTATGGAGTTAACCTTTAAATCTGTAAATCTCCAGGGTTAGAAAAACTTTTGTTATTCAGGGTAGGTGGGCCATTTCAACTGTGATATAACATCTAAGAGACTCTGGATTGTGGTTAATCAGAAAGATGAACCAATGGGTAGGGGTCTGAGTCAGGTAATATCAGCCTTTCTGGATTAAAAAAAGTATTAGTTCCTGGCCAGTGGATCATGCCTGTACTCCTAGTTATTTGGGAGGTTGAGGTCTGAAGTCTGTGGATTAAGGTTCAAAGACAACCTGGATACATACCCATCTTTGATTATTAGGTCTTATCCTTCATTGTGTGTGTACTTAATTCAGACATCAATTACTTAAATTGCAATTTCTCAACCTTAGTTCCTTTAATTGTAGTATTAGTTCTTTATACTTATATAATCTTTTAAGTTTTTCATTTTTAAATTATTTATTTATTTTCTTTCCCCCTTTTTCTTTTTGTTTTGTTTCCTTTCTTTCTCTCATTTTCCTCTCTCTAAATTTAGGTCTTAGTTGTCTTCCCTCTCTTCCGTTCCCTCCCTACATTCCTCTAATCTTATTTTCATCTCACAAATCTCCCTATACCTATTCATTTTGGGTTCCCCAACTCCTTTGATTTTCTTAGTCCATCGATCCCTAGTTGTTTGTTGTTGAACTACATTGTATCTTTACTATTTTGACTGTGTCAAAAAAATCTGTGCAACTACAGGGCTCTGGGTTGATGCTTGCTTTAAAATAGTGTTCTAGCATGAAATCGTTTTTGCTTTCATACTCAAATGGGCAGAACAAGCCATAGAAACACAAGAAAAATGGCAAATCAAGCAATCTCATCTCCCACTCAAGATAAACAGACAACAGAGCAATTAATGAATAATCCAGAGGAGAGTTTTCAAAATGCTCTATAAACACTACTGGTAAACAAACTGAATGAAAAGATTGAAAGCCTGCAAAGGGCACTGTGTGAGCATGATAGGGCAATGTGTGAGTATGATGGAACTAACCAATGATTAATAGAGGAATTGCATGAGCACGATAGAATAACTGAATATTAATAGAGGGAATCATGGAATCCACAAACAGAAAGCTGGAAGAATTCATAGAGGCCACAAACTGAAACCTGAATGAATTCCAGCAGAAGGAAAGGGAATCCAATGAAAACATAACCACTCAACTACGGGATTTGAGATTGAGCACTGAAAACCTAATGAAGTCCATCCAAGAGTTAAACAAAGCTCCAACAAAGAAATTGAAGCCATCAAATCTGACCAAGTAGAAGGAAAACAAATAAAAAAGTAGAAAGTCTTGACAGTAGAAAGTCTTAGACCATGCAGAAGATTGAATTTCTGGGATTGAAGCTAGCCTAGACATTATAGAGAAAGGACAGATAAGTATTCAAGACAAGTCCAAGAAATATGCTAGATCGATTCTACAGTTAGCAAACACTACAAGAAGGCCTAATTTAAGGCTAATGGGTGTAGAGGAGACAGAAGCTAATGGGTATAGAAACAGAAGCTAAAGGTCTAGGAGACTTATTTAACAGAATCCTAGTAGAGAATTTCCCAAACATACAAAAAATTAGGACCTTTCAGATACAAGAAGCCTTTAAAACCTCAAATAGATCAGACCAGAATAGCACATCCCATTGTCACACTGTAATCTGCACAGGATCAATAGAGGCCAAAGAAAGGATCCTTAAAAATGTCAGGGAGATCTTTGCAGATCACATGATCTTGTATTTAAAGAATCCCATAGACTCCACTCCCAAATTACTCAAGTTGATTAAAAACTTTGGCAAAGTAGCAGGCTATAAAATTAACCCTCAAAAATCAATGGCTTTTCTGTATGCCAACAATGAGAAAAGTGTGGCTGAAATTAGGAAAGCAACTCCATTCATAATAGCCCCACAAAAAATAAAATACCTAGGAATTAACTTAACCAAAGAAGTGAAGGACCTCTATGATGAAAA